TTTTCCTTCTTCATCTTATTCCTGATGATGATCATCATCATCGTCATACTGAATCCCTTCATGGATTCATGATGATAATATTTAATTCATAATGTTGATAAGCTTAACTTTTCAACGAGAAAAGGGAATTGAATAGTTGTATGTTAAATTTTCGTTGAATAAACGGAATTCCCATGAAAGTTTCCATCATGAATATCATCATGTTACCATGTTGTATGTTTTTGCTATTGAAATTGGAAACGAAAACTTTTTCTTCTCTTTTTTTTCTCAGAGAAAAAAAATATCAACATTACCCACCCCACTTTCCCTTACATTCAACTGTCACTTGCATCAATATTATTTTTTGTATTTCGTCATTTCTGTTACCTTATCCCATCGACTAACTCACCTTGTTACCTTTTCTGTCAGTCTGAGTTTTTTTTCACTACTTTCTGATAATCTTTTGCATGGTAAGTAATATATTTACATTATGACATTTGAATCTGAATATGAAACTGGGAGTTTCTGGGAGGAAAATGATTGCTACTATTCAATTGATTTGACCCAGCAAAGTAACTGAATGACTTTATCAGAACTTTATTATTTCATGATAACATGAGTTACTTTGAGTTTCTTTTCACAATCTTCATTTTTATCCACCCTCTTTATTTGCCCTGTGGTTGGAAAATGAGAAATAATAGAGAAAAAGTTCTGTATACTTGTCATGATATGAGTTATCTACTGAAAATCTTATCATCATGAGATCTCCAGGAGATAATAATTCTGACTCTTCATGTTTCTCCCTCCTCTTTTCTCATCCCCACCCTAACCAATCACCATCAACCCATTTTCATCAGCTCTCTCTCCCTCTCCCTGTTTCAATCGTTTCATCTTCCACTATATTTTCACCTTTCAAATGCAATACCACTGATAACTTTTCATATCTCTCTCTCTCTCTCTCTCTCGCTCTCTCATCATTTTCATCATTAATGTCAATACATTCCCTCCCAGCCCCATTTTTATCCTCTCTTTCATCATCTTTCTGGCCTTTTGTTATATCTGCTCATTCTCATATATATATAGTTGATAAAGTTGATAATAATAATCTGATTCCATCTAAAATTGTTATCATGATGATGATTATATTGCTAGAAATAGTTTTATCGTCCTGATGAGTAGTTATCTGTGATTGAATTGAAACGATTCATGAAATAAATCAAGTTATTATCATGATTATATACCAAATTATTAGATTGTAAGAGAGGATAAAATGGCAAGTTGAAACTGAACATTGATAATAAAGAAAGAGGAAAAGGAAGGAAGTGGTTTAGGTTATTTATTATGTTGTTGTTTCTATTAATTAAAGGTGGAACCGGAAATTCAGTGAGAAACAGAAAAGTAGGCGGAGAGTGATGAAAAGTAATTCTAATCAGGGATTGTGAAAGAAAAAATATATATATATATATATTTATATACATATAACATGGTGAAAAATTCGTAGAAAAAAACTATTTCAAGTTGCAAAGATTTTCGAGTTTTTTTTACTTCGAAAAAATGAAATTTTCTTCCATCATCTCTATCAGCCTTGCAATTCAATTCAGGTTCAGTTGACTTGGTGTTTCAATCTCGTCTCATGATCCTTATGAGTAAATACATGATTTGGTTGATTAATTTTTGAAACAAATATCATCATCATCATCATGAAACCAGAATCAGAACCAGAATGAAAGTGTAATTATTTTCATTTCCTCTTTTTCCTCAAATCAGTTACATGATGTAATCATCATCATCACCACCATGGCTATTTCATGAGAAGAGGGGAGAAGCTGAAATTTGAAACTCGTAAATTCAACTCACAAGTAAAATTCAGTTAATTATACAATTTAATTTGTATTTTTCAGTTCTAATTAAACTTTGAAATTGAACAACTTTCCTCAATAATAAAGTAATAGCATTTGAATTATTAACAACCGATTCTCATGGAGGGAGGAAAAAGGGAGTATTAATATCTTTCAGGTTGATTATAACAATTAGGTCAGTATTTTGTTGACCAATCTTTCTTCACGAAATATATACTGTGTGTGTATGATGCAATATTAATCAGATATTAGGGATAAGTTTGAAAAAGAATAGGAAAAAGAAGGTGAAAGATACGGAATCTGATAAATCTCAATATGGTCAGTATTCAGTACACGTTATCTGGACAATGGAACAAGAAAATGAAAAGATATTTATTTTTCTTCCACTTTTATCCCATTGATCCGATCGGATTATCTCAACGTTATCATTACTATTATTACAATCATATTGTTCCTCAATCTTTTATCAACCTTTTTCACCTCTTTCAACAATACCATGTCCACACCCACTGACCATCCAAAAAATAGAGAGTGAGAGTATCATTATCTTTTTAAGATAATATCTCGATATCACTTCATCTTGCAATCTTCATCTTGCAATGATAAAAAGTATTCCTACTCTCTTTCATATATCTATCATATTCTATAAGCCATATTATCATCAATAATGTATTGGTCAGTAATCTCTCTGTCATCATGCTGGTCAGCTTCATGACGATCACAATGATTGTAATTTTCACTATTGATTCTCTTGTCTTTTTAGTTTAACTTTGTAATTAAATTAACCAGAAAATCAGCTGAAAATGGTGATAAATTTATTCTTGCTCATTTTTTTGACTCTCTCTCTCTCTCTCTCTCTCTCTCTCTACTAATACTAATTGATAATTAACTGATTTGAATTTAAATGTAATTAGTAATTAGTCGTTTGTTGATTTGAACATAAAGAAAATTATTCTCTCAATATTTATTATTATTCCAACAAAATTCTGGTTAACTAAATCTCTATTGTGATGCTCATATTATTCAACCTTTTCTCATGATGATGATGATGATGATTAATTTAGGAAAGTCTTTTTATCATTACGATGACAAAATGATATTCCTCTGATTGTTCAGTTGATTCAGTTGAGGAGGGAAAAAAGTTCAGATGATAAAATGATAATAGAAAAAGTTTTTCCCTTCTGAAAGTCTTATCTCTTACCATGAACATGAATGCTCAAGATGATGAAGATAATGATTATGATGATGATGATGATGATAATTTTGATGACAGAAAAAGAGCTTGAGCATTTTGATTAAAACATCAAATTAACCTGTCATTGTGTTGGATTGTCATGATGATAAGTAAAGAGAAAGTTTTATTTTTTTTCTGGTTGTTAAAAATTCTGATATAATGATTATCATGGTGATAGTATTTATCTTGAGTTGGGATAAATCATTATGATATGAAAATGATTTTTCCGCCTCACTCATGTTCTTGAGCAATTTAATTTAATCTAATAGATCCCAAACAAGTACATCATGATGATCATCATCATGATGAAAAGAGGGGAAAACGATTCTATCTCCTTTTCATGATAAGTTCTGATGGGAATGTTGAATTTACGAAATGAGCATTAGAATTAAAAACTGAGTCTCGAACTTTTTCCTTCGTTTGAATTTCATTCTTTTCATGATTCAACTTCTCATTGAGTGAAATTCCGTTTATGAATTATTCTGATTTCTATCAATATGTCAGTTGAGATTTTCTATCGGAATAAAATCTCACTCTCTCAGAATTATTAGAAAATGGAACTTTGAGATTACAGGATAAAGTTCGTGTTTGAACATTTTGTTGTTCTTGTAAAATATATTATATTAGATCAGAATTTAACTGACTTGATATAATAATGCTGATGACCATTGGGTTATAATGACGATGGTGATCATCATTTTGCTTTTAGCTGTTGGCAGTGGTGGTGATAATGTCTGGTCATTTTGAAATTTTCCATCTTTCATTCTGGTATCATCATGAAATTGTCAAAAAAAGCTCAGTCATTATATCTTGAGATCATTTTTTATCCTTAAAACTCAATTTACAGTTTTGATTCTTGATTTAATTTCTCGGATCAGAGAAAAATAAAAAAACAAACTTTAACAAAATACTGGTCAGCAAAAAGATGACCAAAAAATCATAAATCATCATCATCTTCATCCTGTTCATTAAAATTATCACATTGACCCATGAAATTTGTTGTTGATTATCTTTACCTTTATTGCTTTTGATTGAAACTCATTAAAACGATAATCCAATTGATGAATCAATCAAACAATTTACAAGATTGAACCATCAATATGAACATGAGTTATTTAAGAAAACACTATTTACTTTTCGTTGATAAAAAAACCAAACCTAAAAGAAAGAATATTTTTTTTCTCTAATACCAATTTCCACTCTGATCATCATGAGAATCATCATGAACATGTATTCAGATAATATAAACATGTACATTACCTACAAGCAATCTGATATGCACCATGATTAGTTTTCATTGACTTTTTTTCCTTCAATTTAACTCAATGGTTCAATAGATATCATCATTTATCAGAATTAGAATCTGTTTCTAATGTTCAGATAATGAGAGTGTATGAAAAAAACATCAATATCTCATAATGATTGGTAAAAAAAATCGTACACATGATTAAGTGAATATATTTATTCATTAATTTAGATTATTCTTATTCCATAAATTATGATTAACTCGAAATAGCTTCTATTTAATCATGAGTAGTATAATAATTGGAGATAATTGAATTGATTGGAAATTATTTCCATTTATAAATCAGTCATTGAATGCTATTAGATAATTTCTTATGAACATTGGTTGAACTTTTTTTTTTAAATTGCTTTTCAATACAATTCAATTGGGTAATTGGAGAGTATGCAAGTTAATTGAGGTGGAAAATTAATTAAACACTAATTACTCGCCAATATGTTGGTAATTTTATGTAATAACACGAACTAATTGTTGTTTACTCTTTGTCCCTTATTTGATTATTCACATGAATCTATTGAACTTTTGGATTTCCTGGATTTGTATCTCTATCGACATGGATCATGAATCCGCCGATTATCATGATAATAACAAACGATCTGTTTATCACTTGATTACTATGATTTAGAGTGAAATCTTAAGAGAAGCCCAAACCATGTCAGCCTTAGATCATAAACACATCGTCAGATTAATTGGTGTCTGCGAGGTTGATCCAATCATGATTGTTATGGAATTAGCACCATTGGGACCATTGAATCAATATTTACTTGACCATGGGTTTGTGGTCACTATTAAGGACATAATTGCCCTTCTCTTGCAAGTTGCAATGGCGATGCAATACCTTGAAAGTAAACAATTTATCCACCGTGACCTTGCGGCAAGAAATGTACTATTGGTGAACGAAAAGTTTGCCAAAGTTAGTGACTTTGGCATGTCAAGAGCACTTGGAATTGGTAAAGAGTATTATAAGGTAATGTTATCAATTATCAAATCGATTCTTATCTCTATTTTGATTCTGAATATTAACTGTTTATGGAAAATAAAACCGATCTAATTGAGCGATTCAACTAAAGTGAAAGTGATAAATGTTTCAATCAACTATTATATTGGAAAGTAGGGGAAAACATTAGGGTGAATCAAGTTGATCTACATAACATATCATGTATCGTTTACTCAGATTCATTACAATATCCTGTTTCCGATTTATTCAGTGCGTGAATGATGAACAGTGATAATCAAAAGCTAAATACTTCTCGATACTTATGGTATATATTCAACAAAGATTCAGGGTTCGATCATGAATAATTCTGAGTTTTTTTTCGCTCATTCTGTTTACTTTTAGTAAATTGAATATTCTTTTGGACTGAATGTCAATCGATCGTAACATTGATCATTTATGATAATATTAAACAGAATCAAATTAGAATTGAGTATTGTAGGTGAAGCTATCAACATTGTTTATTGAATATTCTCACTGTCAATAATTTTATCATCTCTAATTCAATTGCTTTCCAGGCTAAAAGTGCGTCCAAATGGCCATTAAAATGGTACGCACCCGAATGTATCTATTATTTCAAGTTTAGTACAAAATCTGATGTTTGGTCTTATGGTGTTACCATGTGGGAATCTTTATCCTATGGACAGAAACCATATGAGGTATGGACATGAATTCACTTGATGTCACCTTAAAAACTTTTCCTATGTACCAATTTTATCACCATAAATAGATAACCAACATAATGATAGTGTTTGAGCATTCAACTGACCACCACATACACATACTAATACATAAATACAGGGTAGCTAAATTGTGGTCAACAAACATATTACATGAAAGTTATCATAATCGTCAACATGAGTATTAGAATATACCATTATCATTAGATCATTTCTTATGTTTCCTAATCACACTCACCATCATCTCATTTGTAACAACATCTCGACTATTGAAATGTACATCATCAATTTATTAGCATCTTGAATGTACAATGATATTTACTATCTAATATCTGTATCATTCTCGAGTTCATTCATATTGCACTAAGATCATTACGAAATTGTTCAAACATTTGCACCCAAAAATCAGTGTTATTAGTTAAATATTCAATTGAAATTCCCAATGTTACTCATCTAACTCGTTAAAATCAATGATTAAAACGTTATTATCAAATATTACATGATAATACACTTTAAATATTAGCCATTAAGTAAACTGAGATTATTAATATTAATAACACTTTCATCGCCAAATTATCACAATTATCATATTTACAAGTGAGTTATGGTGATAAAATTACATGATAATATACTTTCATGAAACAATATCAACATTTTGTGTGTGTGTTATGAATATATGAAAATAGCTTGAGGGTATTTTCTGGTTTATGAAAAAGGAAAGAGAGAAATGATTAATTATCCATTATGAAGTTTCAACTACAGAATTATCATGTTATTAATCATCTCATCGTTTAATCTAATCAGTATTAATCGTTACTATGATTATTGTAATTATTTAAGAAAAATGACCTCAGGAGATACAGAAAATTAGCTTGTATTATTTTCTATAGAAGCTGAGTCCAAATGCTGTTGAGTTTCGTTGATTATTTCGAGTTAATTGGTTCAATTTTTTCCATGAAAATCTGTTATCATTGATTTTCTATTCCATCAGAACTTTTCGTTTTTTTTTCTCGTGTTTCATGAACAATGTTTTCATTACTATTCGATGTTACTCCTCTCGAAATTGTTCTGGATTTGTCATTCCAATCAAGGTGAAGAGTTTCAATGGGAAATAAACAAGAGAAGATCGAATAGATAAAGAATAACCTTTGTATGGAAAACAATGGAAAAAAGAGAAAATCTCTCAGCCTTCAGGGAGAATGAAGAAATTTTTCCTGATTCTCATATTCCAATTGCTCCTATTATTACTAATAAATTCATTAAAAGAACTCAACAGTTAACATTTCGACTACGAAATCAGTTGTGTTACTAATCAACAATCAGCTCGAATCATCGGAAGTGCAGAAATTGTTAATTTACGTTGTTAAGAGTAGCAATTGAAATTGAGCAACGAAATTTGCTTCCATATAATTTGCGAATTACAAATTGTAATTGGGAGAATATGAAATTGTGAGGAAAAAAATAAGAGAAAAACAGAAAAATTCTGCAAATGATATTACTATTATATATTAAATAGTAATGATTCTGATAATGATGATAATGATAATGAATATAATGTTATTATGGATGATTTAACCTCATTTTTTCATCATCATCACTCTTTGACTTTGTTGCTTGATGAATATATAGTTGGATGTAATATTTGAGATGTAAAAAGTTATTCTCTCTCTCATTCTCCATGAAAATGAATACTTTTTTCACCCTCTACTGAATCATCATCATCATTAAATTGACGATCTTGAAATTAAATCCATAAGGAAAAGGAAAATTGTTCAGGTTATTTATCATTAAAACTTTTTCAAATTCTATTCAAAATCTATTTTCCTTTTCCGTTATTCTCTCGATTATTGGTAAAGTATTAGAAATATTTTCTGATTTCGCTTGTATCATTCACAGAAAAAAAGAGAAAAAATTTGACATCCTAGTTCTCATAATGAATGTTTCTTGATAGAAATGATGATAAACTGATAACACTATTCATAAAGATATCAAAATCGTGATTGATTATTAGCTGAGTTCAAGAATAAATGTCGCTTTAAATGAATTAATTGACCTCAATAGGTAATTAGAATTGAGGTGAAAACTTGACGACAAATTTACCAATACCAATGAAAGTATATTCACTGGACAATGGGTATTCAACAATACGTCACAGGAATAGATTGTTGTTATTTATTACTTTCTGTCTGATGTTTATCTAGTAAACATTTTAAGACAATTTCTGAGACCCAGGTATGAGATGGATGACCAATCAGATGATGACCATGAACTTTTACCACCATCATTAGAGCTCAACATTAATGAGAAACCCTACCAAAATTGAACCTTTTAAATATTTCAGCTTATTACCTGTCATTTCAATTCATCATCATCATGGTCATTATCCTTCATGGAATCTATTTCCTTTCTCTTGACCACCACTAACCAAACAGTGTATTAGTTGATTGGTAAAAGAAAATGGAGAAGAAGAAGAAAAAAAAACCTTGACAAAGAGAAAAATAAACTTGAATTCTTCGTGTTCAATTAAATTCTTACTTAGACCAATCAAAGTTCATCATCATGGTAGGAGAAGATAAAATTCTGGAGACAAATGATGAGGAAATAAGAATCATCTTAAATAATAGCATTTCTTTTTTTTACTATGGAACAAAACAAGAAAAATATTAGAACAAAACTTTTGAATAACTTTTTTCTTCTTGCGTGTTTTGTATTTTCTTATCAACATTCTGATTGATTGAACTTTTTTTTTTCTTCTGTTTTCATTATCCTTCCATGATGATGATCATGTTAAATCATAAAGTAAGAACAATAATTTCCAACAATCTTCTTGGAAGATGAAAGAAAGTTACAAAACAAGGCTAATATAAACTTCCTGGTATCTATCACAAATTCTTTGATAATGAACAATTGATTTCAAATCAATCAATCAATTTGTCTCCTATTGATTAACAGTAATCATTGTTTGTTCAGCAAGTTTCAGGATCATTATAACAAAAATGATGATGATAAACAATTGTTTATCACAATGTTATTAATAACAGCATGTCAATGGTATCAAACTTTATATATACTTTTTTTCATCATTAGTTTTTGGATCAACTGTTAATCAATAAGAGAAGTGGTAACAAACTTTTGTACAGAAACTTTCAAAAGTTTGCTTGTTCTAAAGGTCCGTGCTTGTGAAACATGTCAATATAAGAATCAATTGTGATCTAATTGTCTTTTTATCTTCGAAAATTAGAACCAATCCTTTCCTCGGTGTCTTTCTCGTACTCTTCAAATTAGCCCGTCGATGTGTGGGCAGAGACATTTCATCAGATTTTCCTATGAACGGATACCCAGATCATTTTCAGACTGTTCGCATGAACTTTAGTATCCCAGATGAAATTTTTGGTGTCCAATTATTTCATAGAATCGCCGTAGTTTTGTTATAAAATTGTTCTAAAAATTTTGCTCGTCTTATGATATAATTGATAGATTATAGTGTTATTATTATTATCCATCAAGTTCAGTGAAAGGGAAAGTGAAAAAAACTTTTTAATTTGCAATAGTTTACTAGCATACTCATAATATGGACAATAGTCAGTTTGCTTTGATAGAGACAGAAAGGGATTGACCAAAGGCTAGTCAACTATGAACAGATTGACAGGAAATCAGAAAGTGTTGAGCAAGAAAAAAGAAATTGATTATTTTTTCTTTACTCTTTTCATCCTAATTGTAATAACAATCAACAACAACAATGATGATGATGATGATAATAACGATAAACAATAATATGTTTAGCTGCCAATTGGTGGATTGGGAGAGAGAGAGAGAGAAACTTATATCAGAGATTAATTCTCATTACTATTATCATGCTCCTATTGGAACTTATGAACACATGGGAACACATGAGAATCTAATACAATGAACATTAAGATGAACATGAGAAAATTGATCAAGACATTTTTATTATTTCTAATCATAATTATCAACAGAAATCCCATACATTGTTATCTTCTTATTTTCAGATTATTACATTTGCTTCATTGTCTTAATCCATTTAAACAATCAATCTTAAATTGTTTCGAATCATTAACAATTAATTAACAGAGAGAGGGAGAGAAAAAAAAAGTTATTATATTTGGAATGACTGATTTAACCTATCAACTACAGTCTCATGTCTTAGGAAAAAAGTTAATCACTTCTTTTATTAGATTAATTGTTAATTCAGTTTCGAGGTCATCGATATCATCGTCATGATAATCATTTTGTTATTCTGGTCATTCCGAGATCTTTTTTTGTTTAATTGCTCTTTCATCAATAACTTAATACATTAAATTTGCTTGTCAAGTTATCACTTATTGTTAATCTAATAGTTATTAATGTTTGTCCAGATTTCAATTGACCTCAAAGGTGACCATTGGCTTTTCCATGAATAAAACTATTCTTTTTATACTTTTCATCTTTTGATGGACATTCTGAATTCTAGCGGAAATATTTTTTATCGATGATAATTTTGATTGATGCTAAATTGTTACTTTTATTAATATTATTATATAAATTGAGTACATAGTAAATGTTAATCAATCATTGGAAATAACTGACAGGGTGAAAGAGATTGAACAATTGTCAGAACTTTGAGATGATAGAAAATCAGAATGAGATAAACAAACGATTATCTTGATAACTTTTTGTACTTCAGATTCACAAGTAAAGTTTAATGTGTGAGAATCATCAAATGAGTTCAAATGCAAGAGAATTTCAACTTTCTGTTTACCATGATGATTCCGATAAATAGTCAGAATTATGTTGATACCAATCGGATGAGATTTCCATCTGATTACAACTCCAACAGAGATGAAATTTTACTTCTCTCTCTCTCTCTCTCACTAATTCCTTTAGATAAACTCCATCTAATCAGTTTCTTATAGTCTTATAATTATAATTATCATCTTCATCTTTGAAAACCATTTATCTTGATTAATCTTGTTCATTATTTAATCTAAGATCATCTTTTACCACCCACTTTCTTAATGATTAACTTATTTGATCAACTTTAAATCAATTCAATGAGTGATACAAAAATTGCATGATGAAAGTTTCATGAGACAAAAATGATTCAATATCCGTTTACAAGTTATCAATACACTTGCATGCACTGATTTCTTAGCATTAAAGATTTTATCAATTCCATCATGAAGATTTGTCAACTAACTAATTTTACTCTCTACTTACAGGGTATGGATGGTCAAGATATATTAAGATTATTCCGTGAAAATCGTCGACTTCCTAAACCAGAAAACTGTCCACAAGAAATATATCAACTCATGTGGAAATGCTGGCAATTCAGGTAAAGTATTCAAGAAATTCAAAGTTCTCAGTCTAAATTTATTACGATTCGAGATGGAAAAAAAAAGTTATAACAATAAATCGTCAACTGGCCTGTAAACAGTCATGAATCAGCATCGAAAATGATAATATAGCTTAGACAATGAGTTGAACTTTTCGTTTATCATGAATAGTCAGAATTCATGATGTCAGCTGAAAATTGAAAGAAAAGAAATGAACAACCAGAACGAAGGAGAGAGAGAGAGAAAAAAAATGAAATGAAATTCTGATTCTCGTTAAAATTAACTCAATTCAATTAGCATTATCATCTACATGTAAATGGATAATGTTCAATAGTATTATCGTAAATGATTTTTACAGTTATTAAAGTGAACTTATTGACTGTGAAATGATATTCTTAATGTTTCCCTGAACAAAGAAAAATGATCATGAATCATGATTATCGCAATCTCTTGTTAATTATGTTTAATAATATTACAATTTTGTGATGATAATTGAACAGACAATTTAATAATGAATATTTTTCTCTTCGATAGGCCTGAAGATCGTCCAACTTTTTCTGAGATATGTCAAACCATGACAACGTATTTTCTTTGCTCAAATATTTGATAAAAATGTTCTAAAGAGAGAAAAAAGTTTCCAGGAAAATGTAAAGAGGTGAAAGGTCGTGAAAAAATGGAAACTGAGGCAATAAAGTGAAAATTCTGAGCGAGAGGAATTGTATCACATTAGATTAGCAACAATCAAGCTACCAAGAGGAAGGAAAATGAAACGATTCACTGAATGAGATATTAAATGGAGAGAGGAAAACGTCAATTTCAATTCTGCTAATTTGCTAAATTATCATCATCTCCATTCAGTTCTATCACCATCTTCACCATCATCATGCAAATGGATCGAGAAACATTCAATTCTGAATACAATGTATCTAAGTGATCATCATCATGGAAGATACAGAAAAAAAAACTCCAACTGGAAACAATGGAAACGGATGTTAACTTTTCATAATTAATGTAAATGCTCATCAAAAGATTCATATAAATGCTACTTGAGCATGAACAGTTATCCTCATCATCACCATGAGACAATTTTAATCAGGGGCTGAGTAGGATGCTGGAAATAATTTATATTCAATCGGATTAATAACAACACTTTTTGACTAAATTTTACTACTTATTTTTTTCCTCAAGTTGATTTATCGTTTTGTATCAGATGAAAATACGATTTGGTTAATCAACTAATTCATCGTTAATCTAGAAAGGTTAATCTTATGTAATATAATCTGAAAAATCTTGTAATTATCCGATGTAAATTGTTATGTATTAAATTTGAATTTAAAAAGTAAATCTATCATATTAAGTATTATTGGAATATATTATTTCATCTTGATATTGTAGATGATCAAATTTTGTAATATTAGTAAAAGATGATTCTTTGTATAATTGATGTTTATCATCATTGGCTTGGCTTTTAAATGCTGATCAATTTCATAGATCACATATTCTAGGATTAGAATCGAGGTTTCCTTAATCATCATCGCAATTAATTAAGACAGGCTGAGTTAACAAGATTGTGACCAAACTTTCAATTCTGTTGGTTTACTGAAAAGCAAAGAATCTTGAATCATTGAAATATCCCGCGAAATGTATGATCGAAACTGGATTTGGTTCTTTCGATGAAGCGATATAGCTACTCGATAGTAGACCAAGTTATTGATAGTTCGTCTGGTGATATAATTGCTGAAGAATTCGATAATAGAATAGATTCGAATTATTGATTTGTCTCTTAATTGTTTGAATGGTTATTAAAAATTGTCGCTTGGTCTTCATTTGATCATTGAAAAAACTATTACAAAATCAACTTGTAAGTCGCCATCTCATGGGGAATGTATGAACAAGCTTTACCTTGTATTAGACAGAATAGTTCAGAACGAAATTATCAGAATATGATATTAAATTAACAAATAGAATATAACCTTACCAAATTGTCACTTTTTCTTGATAGATTAATTGAGCTATTTGAAACAATTTAAATGACGACGAAAAAACATCTTAATACAATAATAGTACTTTAGTTACGATGGTATTTGAATGGTTATCATGTGTATTGATTAACAAATTGTTGTATATGTTGAACGAGTTTAAAAGAGGAAATTGTTTACATAACAATTAACAGATCAAATCGTTGTTGTTAGTAAATCAAATTCTTCACTTTTGCCTTCGTTGGACTTGTTCCAAGCGAATTTGAATTGTAATCGAAACTACAAACGAAAACACAAAATTCTGGTCCGTCCAAAAATGTCACTAATTCTGAAAGCGGATAAAATTAATTCAAATAAATCTCGATACCAACCATTAGATCATTTTTACTCTATTAATACAATTAAGGAATAAAATTGAAATGTTTCAACATTTTTACCAACGAAAGTTTAATTTGAGCGCAATATTTTTTTCTCGTAAAATCGTAACCTAAGCAACGAAAGTTTTTCCCCTTATAGGGAAACTGTTTACTTGGAACAACAAGAATGAAAGAAATTGTAACAATAACAATAACATAAGAGAATTGTAAACAAACCAATCATCATCTTCTTTGTTTTCATCGTTTGTTGTTGAACAGTTTTTTTTTTGCTCTTGTTGTGAGAGAATAATTAAAATTGTAATTATATTGAAAGTATATTTTTTTCCCCTTTCTTCTTGATTGTTTCAATTGTGAGATTAAAGATTAATTTTTAATCATCGTAACAAAATCAACACCAAGTAAACAAAACAATGGACACTCTTAGACAACAAGTGATGATCAACCAGTTTGTTGTGGTGACAGGATGTAATCATGATCAAGCTAAACAATTGTTAAACAATTCTAATTGGCAATTTCAACGAGCCTTGAGTATCTTTTTCCAAGAAGTACCAATTACAAGTCTGAACGGCAGCGGCGGTGGTGGTGGTGGTGGAGGATTTCATTCTGCTGATCGTTTATATCCATTATCTACACCAGCTAATACACCCGCTACTCCACCTAATTTTCCGGAAACACTTTTAGCCTTCTCTAAATTGTCAACCACCTCTGAAGTTGCTGCTACCAAAACAAATTCCAATATAAACAATAACAACAACAACAACATCGTCAACAATAATAATAATAACAACAATAGTACTACGATAACCAACACAACAACAACAACAGGAACAATTAACAATAACAATGTTACACAACATCATTTACCTCACCATGGAATCGCTATACCTCAACATCAACCCTACAGTCATCATCATCGTCTTCATCAGCCTCATGTTAACCATAACAATTAGAAATCAAGAGCGAGTGATTTAAGTTTTCTTTCCTTATAATACTTTTCTCTATC